AATTAAGACAATTTAAGATTTCTGTTGGATCCATTAATGTTATATATATATATATATACACGTACATACATACATACACATACATACATACATACATATATATAATTGATGAGTAGCATTTCGAGCCAAAACGAACCTAATACGAACGAATAAATTTTTGTTCGTGTTCGGCTCGTTAACTTAGTAAACGAGCCGAACACGAGTTGTTCGCGAACAACGAGCCGTTTTGACAGCCCTAGTTAAAAGGATTGCATAGTTAATAAAAATATTTGAAGATGGAACGCAAAATATAATTGTTTAAAATTATTCAAAATGTAATAATTAAAAGAAAAATATTTTAATTATATATATATTTTGTACTAAAATCTATGCATACATATATATAGACCTACACTGGTTGGGGGCCTGAGATTCATGGGTCTGCAGCAACTCCAACAGGTTAATATGTGTAAATTATGGATTAAGTTCAGGCAACAAGACTCTCTATGGGCCAAATTCATGAAAGGAAAATACTGCAGGCTCTCTCATCCCAACATGACTAACAGGAAGATGGGAGACTCTAGAACTTTGGTGCAGATTTTAAAAGTTAGACAACAAACTGAGAAATTATTCTTGTGGACTTGGGGAATGGAAGGATTCACTTCTGTTTGGATAATTGGTGCCCCCAAGATTTGTTAATGCCTAGATCACCTGATTTTAATCCCAATCTACTCGTGGTTGACTACTGGAATGGAGATTCCTGGTGTGAGGAGACTCTTCAGTCATTGCTGGATCCAATTGCTGCTGCCTGTATTTCCAAAGTTCAATTCAATAGGAATCAAAAAGATAAGTTGGTGCTAAATTCTTGTAGATTGCAGACCCTCTCTAAAGTCATCTACTCCAAACTCTTCAGTTGTGATGATGTTCCTTGGGGGAAATCCATATGGAACAAATTCCTATCTCCTTCTATGTCATTTTTTTGCAAGAGAGCCTTTCACAAGCTACTTCCTATTTATGATCTCCTTAAACTAAAAGGTTTGAGACGCCCTTTCAGGTGCCATTTATGTTTGGCTGCTGAAGAATCTCTACAACATCTTTTCTTTGAAAATAATTATGCATAGAATGTTTGGAAGGACCTCACCAAGGATTTGGGGGTTAACCTGATTACTTTTGACTGGTTCACTATTGCTTCTTGTTGGCTTGGATGGCAACAAGTAAAAGTTGTATCTGTTCCTTTTATTGTTTCTTGGTTCCTATGGATAGCTTAAAAAAAGGCAAAATTTGAAGACCTCTTCCCTTTTGTTCTGCACACAGTAGTTAACTGAAAAGCTTTCATTTGCAAATTGATCAAATATAAGGGCTTTCCAAAAATTTACAGTTTTCAACATTCTTCCTTCCCCGCCTCCTTTACTATTTCTAAGGATTTTTGGAGAAAACCCCACCACCCTTTTATCAAGGTCAATATTGATTGTAGCTTCACTAGCTCTGGGGTTGGCTTTGGTTGTGTCTCTAGAGATTTTATTGGGACATGTCAACTATTTATCTACACTCATATGATTGCTCAAGATGTCTTAGAGATTGAAGTAGCAACTGTCTACTAGGCCATCCAATTTGCTGTGAAGATGCATTGGGACCATTTGCTTGTTGAAATTGATTATGCACTCATTTAGATGATTTTTTGTGAACCCCTCCCCTCCCCCCAATTCCCTAGCATATTCTACAATGGTTGAAAATCATCCAATCTTTCAGGAATTCCTGTGACTTCATATTTTCTTTTAATTTTAGAGAAGGCAATAGACCTGCTAGTTGGCTTGCTAGATTGGCAAGCAATTCTGAGAGTGCTCTTGTTTCTTCAACCCCCCCAACACCTCTCTCTTTCTTTTTTATTGAATGGGGACCTTCTTGAGACTCTCTATCTTAGAGTTGTAACCCCCTCTATCACTTAACAGTACTTCTATGACATATTTCAATGATAATGTATTTGACCCATCATTTCCTCATATATGATATTCAACTATACTAATGCCATATAAAAGAAAAGTTTATTTAAAAAGATAAAATCCATCCCGTATACTTTTTTAAAGTAAGCGTATAATTATTTATATATTCTTAAGTAGTGATACTAATAGAGAGACTCTTGATACATAAATTAATAGAGGTCATATATGATATTTTACAAGTAGAATGGTAATTTAAGAAGTGGGGACATATATATAACAAAAGCTTGGTTAGAGAATACTTTAGGACTGACTTAGTAGACATATGTGTAGAGGATAGAATAAATAAAACCTAGACATGAACTTTTACAGCAAAACTTGATAAACATGAGAAAGTATATTCATCTTTGAATAATTATCCTTTATTTATAGAGTATGTATCCATAACTTCTATGGAGAAAATTAAAATAATACACACATTTTTCTAGCACAACCCCTGAAACAACCTTGATAGGTGTGCCCAATTTATAATGATGAAAATTTCAAGAAAATTTAACATATGCTTTTATAAGAGATTCATAAACTTTTCTTATATTAATTTCCTTAGCGCTTGATAAAATTTAGGAAGAATAATCAATATGTGTATTAAGGAGTAATAGAAAAGGTTTTGGTTAAATTTTGTTCGTATTAAAGACGTTAGCTCTTCTATATGTATACACACAAATTTAATAAAAAATGGTTTTAAATAAAAGTCAGATCATGAAGATAGCTAAACTCCATAATGAATGAGGCAATAAACTACAATGTTGAAGTGGTTAAATGCAAATATTATTTACCAGATTTTTAATAGTTTTTGCGTGTCATGCTCATTAGTATCTATGAAAGGAGAATGATTGTGCTGACAAAAGAGATGCCCGACTAACTCATTTATGAGTAATAATTTGTTTGAGAATCTGTATAGTCTATTCAAAACTAATTAATGGCAATAAGA